TCTTTGCTTTTAGCAAGCAAGATTGTATCATCTGCAAAGCACAGGTTGTTAATGACTCTTCCTCTTTCTTGTCTTGAGGCCATGTTTTTCTTCATGTAATCCAGTTTTTCAGATTATTTGCTCAGCACACAGATAGAATGAGTATAATGAAAGAATAAAAACCAGCCGCAATTTAGGTGCACACCTTTCCTGATTTTAAACCATTCAGTGTCCCCTTGTTCTGTTCGAATGATTGCCTCTTGGTCAATGTACAACTTTCTCCTGAGCACAATTAAATGTTCCGAATACTCATTCTATGCAATGTGGTCCTTAGCTTGTCATAATTCACACAGTTGAAAGCCTTTTTATAGTCAATAAAGAATACTCTCTGCCTTCATCCAAATCCATCTCTGTCAGCAGTGGTATCTCTTGTTCAATGTCCTTGTCTGAATCCAGCTTGAACCAGATTCCTGTCTGGTTCCCTGTTGATATATTTAGCAAAATTTTACTTGCATGTGATATTAATGATATATTGTCAGATGATTTCCACATTCCATTGAGTCACCTCTATTTGGAAAGGACACAAATATGGGTCTCTTCCAATCTATTGACAATGTAGCTGTCTTCCAAATTTCTTGCTATATGAGTAATTTACTCCAATACTGCATCAGTTTGTTGAAAGACGTCGATTTGTATTCCATCAGTTCTGGAGCCTTGCTATTTGCCAATGCCTTCAGTGCTCCTTGTACTTCTTCCTTCAGTACCATTGGATCATATCATAATATTATATACTACTTCATGAAATGGTTGAACATAGACCATTTCTTTTTGGTACAGTAACTGTGTATTCCTTCCATCTTCTTTTGATGCTTTCTGCATCATTCACTATTTTACCCATAGAATCCTTCAGTATTTTAAGTTGAGGCTGGAATTTGTCCTTCATTTCTTTCAACTTGAGAAATCCTGAGCATGTTTTACCCTTTTGATTTTCTTATTACAAATCTTTGCACATTTCATTTTAATACTTGACTTGATCTTCTTGAGATGCCCTTTGAAATTCTCTGTTTTGCTCTTTTACCTCATTTCTTCCATTTGGTGTAGCATCTCTAGACTAGAGAGCAAGTTTAAGAGTCTCTTCTCACATCCATTTTGGCCTTTTCCTTCTTCTTTGTTTTCTTCTGAATGCTTCTTCCTGTATGATATTCTTGATGTCATCCTAGAACTCTTCTGGTCTGTGGTCATGAGTATGTAACTCATCAGATCTGTTCTTGAGATGATCTGAGATGAGGTGGGATATGTTCAAGGTCATGTTTTGGCTCTCATGGACTTGTTTTAATTTTCTTCAGCTTCAGCCTGAACTTGCATGTGAGCAATTGATGGTGTGTTCCAGCCTGCCTCTGGCCTTGATTTGACCAATAATACAGAGCTTTTTCACTGTCTTTCAACAGATGTAGTCGGTCTAATTGCTGCGTATTCCATCCGGTGAGGTCCATAATATATAAGTTGTCTTTTATCTTGTTTAAAAAGGTATTTACAGGGAATAAGTCATTGATCTTGCAACATTCTGGTAGGCAATCTCCAGCATTGTTTCTATCATTAATGCCGTGTTTTCCAACTATTGACCTTTTTCTCTTTGTTGCCAACCTTTGCATTCCAATCACCAGTAATTATCAGTGCATCTTGGTTATATATTCGTTTAATTTCACATTGACGAATTTGTTTTTGGTGGTGTTCCATAGAGTCAGTTCCGATTCATAGCGACCCCATATAGGGTTTTCAAGGCTTTAAATCTTTACGGGAGTAGAAAAAGCCTCATCTTTCTCCTGCGGAACTGCTGATAATTGTTAACTGACATTGAGGTTAGCGGCCTGACTCGTAACCACTAGGCTACCAGAGCTTCTTGAAGAATTTGCTCGAATTCTTCAATTTCATTGTATATTGCTACGAAAATATTGAGTACTCCAAGACATGATTTAATTATTTGGTTGCATTGATGGGTGAATTATGGATATCTGTCCAAAAGAAATTGGAACTCCGTAGATTTGATACCTGCTTTTCTCACCTTGTTGTTGTTATGTGCCATTGAGTCAGTTCCGACCCACAGCGACCTTACACAGGGTTTCTGAGACTGTAAATCTTTATGGGAGCAGAACGCCTCATCTTTCTCCCACGGAACAGCTGGTAGTTTCGAACTCCTGACCTTGAGGTTAGCAGCCCAACTCGTAACCACTATGCTACCAGAGCTCCTTAAATCAGGTTATGGAGGCTGACAAAATGTTTGCTTATATATTAGACTTAAAGAGCAAAATTCAAGTGCTGCTCAGATTATGCTAGACTTTTCACATGACTACCATATAACTTAATTCTTACCACAAGAATGTCTATGCTATAGTTATACAGATAAGTTCAATGTTGTTGTTAAGTGCAACCCTATTTTCTGAGGAGCAGCTGTTGAGCTTGAACTGCCGACCTTACAGTTCAAACTGACTTTACAGTCTCATGCATTCCCACAGTGCCATACCAGGACTCCAAATAACAATTAGGAAAGCAAGTAAATATTTGTTACTTCATGTAAATACAAATGTTATGATGTAAGCGGTCCATTTTTCAGAAATCTGTAGAAGCGTTACATAAAAATATTTGGTATATTCAAGAAGGCTTAAAGAAAGAAATCAGAAATAACTTGCAATATAGAAGAGGTTGACTAAAAGGTTACTTGAGGTGCAGTGTGAAAATAGAATGTGTATAGTGGAATAGACAAGAAGAAACTGCCTAATTAATAATTCTATTTATTAAACATATGTTATCAAATTGAACTACACAGAATATATCTAGATGTTTGAGGAAGATGAAAAAATTGATCATAGGAAACAAATTACATGACATGTGAAAAGTTACTGGTAGAACCCCTGGTCTACTCATTTTCCCAGTTAGGACCATGACTAGTTTCTAAGAATTAATTGCTGCTTGCCCTGTAATTTCACAGTTACTTTATTTTATCTGTTATTTGTTACTGATTAATTTCACTGCCTGTGATGATACTAAAGAAATTCATAAATGCGTAAATTGAGATATATTAAAGAGTATGTAGTCCATTCCATGGGATGCATTTAGCTTATAGATAGTATAATATTCTTCAAGTCTTGCCAATTTTTTTTTTTTTTTTAGTTTTGTCTTCAGGAATTGAGAAGACAATTCCCTGGCAGTCACAGAGTCAAACGATTAACTGGAATGAGATTTGAAGCCATGGAAAGGTAACAGAATCCTGTCAACAGTGTAATCTTATTTAAAAATGGCAAACATCTGGCTTACATTTGGTTCCTGCAGCATCCCTGGCTACATCATTAATTGTAGTTCTTCTTGCTGTTGAGCTTCAGAATAGTGTCAGAGTATCTCTCAACATAAATCTATGGATAATTTGACATAAAAGTGCAATCTATTTGCTGTTCTTAGTGTGTAGAATGGGATCGTGCCTTTCACTAGGAGCTATTTTCAAATCTTGGTTCTAGCATTTAACAGATTTTGGCCTGGCAAGTTGCAAGAAAACTTGCAAACACCTGGGTAAGTTGGCAGCTTGTCACAGAAAGAAAACTCAAATATTTCCCACTATTATGAGCAATAGGAGCTCTGGTAGCGTAGTGGTTACGAATCAGGCTGCGAACCTTAAGGTCAGCAGTTTGAAACTACCAGCTGTTCTGCGGGAGAACGAGGTTTTCTGCTCCCTTAAAGATTTATAGCCTTGGAAACCCTGTACAGGGTCGCTATGGTTCAGAACCGACTCCATGGCACATACAACAACAACATTATGAGCAATAAGAAAGGAAGATGCTAAGATGGTGATCCAGTCAGACACACTACACTATCCCTTTATAGCAAAGATTTGAGAAACCAAGTGAAACAGATAGTAGAAATAATTCTGAAACCCTGAGCATCAAATGAAAGGATAAGGATTTGATCAATAAGATACTAGAAGAAGAAATGGAATGAAAGCAGTGAATGAGGAGAGATACAAAATGGAAGTACCCCACCACAGTCATCTGGCGCAGCGTGACCATTTTGAGACAATACAAGCAGCACCCCTGGGTGAAGAATATAGGAAGGCAACTTCACGGAATTCGCAAAAGACAGACAATGTAGAGAAATCTGGAGTGAAGAAAATGAGAATGCAAATTCGATTTAAGGAATGAACGTGCAATAACTCCAGAGACTCAGAGCAGCCAATATATATGGACAGAACCACTCACCAGTTGTGGTCCCAGTTGTTTGGACAAGGAACCCATGTGGAGAAAAGGGTCCATTGGGGGTGGTTGCTACAGACATTGGATTCCAGGTAACCCCCCTCATTGCACTGAGTTAGGATAGAAACCTGATAATGGGCTACACTCATCCAGGAGTGCACTGGCTCTGGGACCACTGACTGGAGGAATGCACTGACCCCTCTTGCCCTTCATACCCTCCTGTTGACCACCTCTGGTAGCTGGAGGTGCACCCGGCTCCCCTTCCCCTAATGGTCTGTGTGGCTCCCTCTTGTGGGCTATGCTTCTACAACTGCATGTGCATCATGCCCCCACCACCATCACACTCAGTACACTCGTTTTTGCAGATTGTGACTGCATGCCTGCTCCCTCAGTAAGCTTTCTCATTTATTAGAAACTAAATTTCAAGAAAACCAGGAAGAAAATTAGTAAACCTTCTTACTAAAAGAAAAAATGATTACGACTCAAAAAACAAAAAACAAACACTGCCATCGAGCCATTTCTAACTCATAGCAACCCTATAGAGCAGAGCAGGACTGCTCCTGTGTGTTTCTGGGACTAAAGTTTTATGGGACCAGGCATCCTATCTTTATTCCAGAAAACTTCATCTTTCTCTTTTAGGATAGTAGGTAGGTTTGAACTGCCTACCTTGCAGTTAGCGGCCCTGTGCTTAACTCACTGTGCCACCAGGGCCCCTCTATACTGACTAAGTAAACACAGAGGAATAGAAAATCCATAAAAACAAACAAACAAACAAAAAAACTCAACATAGGAAAATATATGGAGCAAAGAAGTCATCAACACCACACACACATACACACAAAAGCACAACAAAAAGACAGCAGTAAATTCATACCTATCAATAATTACAGTGAACGTAAAAGGTTTAAATGCATAATTCTAGAGACATTGTGGACTTCTGGTGTGGCGCTGTGGTTCAGCACTGGACTGAAGCACACGGTCGGCAGTTCAAACCCACTATTTGCTCCTTCGAAACCCCATATAGTCAAAACTGACTTGACAGCACTGAATAGCAACAACAAAAGAGACATCATGCATAATGACAGAGGGGATAAGGAAACATGACCCATCAGTGTGCTGTCTACAACAGACATCTTTTTTAAAAAACTTTTTATTGTAAACTGAGTGAAGGTTTTTACAGAGAAGGCCATCAGCTTTACAGTAAACAAATCATCCACATTGTTTCACCTCAGTAACTACAATTCCCTCTATGCAACAACAGTTATAGTGCTTCTTCCCTGTGCGTCCTATTTGCAGTCCACCTACCTTCCTATTCCTTCTCAACTTTGTCCTTAGATATATGGTTCCCTTTTGATTTTCAATGATTGGCCAGTCCATGGTAAGCATACCTTGCCAGTATTGTTGTCCCCCCTATAAAACCTATCTACTGCTTCACTGAAAACTGGGCCACAATGGTAAGTTCCTTTCTAGACGTGAAGGGTTGTCAGAGGCTGCAGTGTATATCTGACCAGGAAGCCAGGTCTTTTTTTTTTTTAATTCTGTTGTTCAAATGTTCCATTAGTCCTTTGGACTGATTGATTCCAAGCCTCTTAGTTCTTTTTTATTTTATTTTTTTAATGCTTTTTTGTGAATTATGTATGTGATAGTTTACATGGAAGGACATCAGCTTCACATTGATTCTGTCGTATATTGTTTCCTTGCCATGGTTACAATCCCTTTCATACATCATCCATCAACCAATGGGTATATACTCCATAAGCCTCACCCCCGGTCGTCTACTCCCTCTCTGGGTCCAAAGTCTCCAGCCCCTCCGTCTCCCCACGTCATTGTCTCTGCCTCCATCCCTGGCAACACAACTTCTCTGGATAGTGTTCTGTTCTCTGCTCTTCTCCTTTGATGGTCCCAGGGACCTCCACTCCTAGACTGCAAGGTTAATCACTCCCCTCCCTTTGCCCCAAAATGTCTGCCTTTACATTTCCAGCCCTTACAATCAGTCCTGATAACAATTATTCGCTATTGTATCGCAAGAGATCTATCCACATCTCCTTTCATCAGCTCCGACTAGGCAGAATGGGTACTACTCAGTGGAGATTCTACCTTGCTCCACGCCCTCTGGATCTAGGTTCCCTCTTGAAAGCTTGTAAGCCAGTCACTTCTTGTCTCTGTAGTCCCCTTATTCTGGGTAGCCAATGTCCAAGTTATCTATCCCTGTCCTCTCCGTGTACGGAGGAGGTACGAATGATCCTTGCTATGAAGATTTGTTCTCTCTTTTGAGATACTACTTCCATAGGTGTGTGTCAAGTTCATCAAATATGTCAGATTATCCCTTTTTCCCTCTTCTTTCTTCTTCTGTTTGAGCTCCGATCATCCCGCCATTGACGCCAGGTCAAGTGGGTATTATCTGCAAGTTTGGTATACTTAGGCATGTGCCCTCTCTTCTTATCACCTGGATGCTTCACTCTCCACTCTAGTCCTCTGTGGTTATGTTGCTGACTCTGGGTCCAAGAGTCCCCTGGACTTGGCACACTGCTGGCCAATCAGGTCTCCATCTGGGTTCACA